ATTTTCAAGGGATAGCTCAGCGGCTTCAACATATAAGGGTTGTATAGGGGTTGATCTCATAGCACCCAAACATACCCTCATAATAGAATTTTGAAACGTGTCAATTTTTCTTAAAAGGTTCTTGGAGGCGGAACCATAAAGAGTAGCACCATAATCTAGAATAGATCGTATATAAGCGCGATAAAACAACAAGGATGTTTCTACATCGCAACCCACCACGTTTTTGTTGTCATTCTGAGGAAATTGCTGCCTTTGTTACATCTATCAAGCATGTACTCTATGTGTTGTCTCCAAGTTAGCTTCTTATCCAAAATAAGGCCTAGATATTTGACATGATTTTGGAGCTTAAAACATTGATCGTTCAAAATAATATTTTCATTTGTAGAAATGTTATGTCTTGTGAAGATAGATACTACTGATTTTTCTATAGATACATTGAGACCATTCTCTCAGAACCATGAAAAAAGAGATTTACATACTTTGCTAAGGCTTTGAATACAGGTTTCATATTTTTTGTTTCCTGTATAGATGCAGAAATCGTCGGCATACTGTACGATTTTAAATGAACTGTTATTTATTTGGATGTTATGTATGTCAGAGCTGTATATATTGAATAAGATTGGAGATAAAACTGAGCCTTGTGGTATACCTTGATAATTATATCGAGGTCCAATTAGCTTGTTATTATGTTCTCTTACATAGATGATCCTCTTTGTGTAAAATCCAATTATTGTATCCACGAATGCGATTGGCATATGAAATAAATTAACCATTTTGTTTCTTAAAGTTGACAAGCAAACTGATTCGTATGCTCCCTTAATATCCAAGAATAGCCCTGTTAAATAGTTGTTTCTAGTTAAGTTATTTTGTATATCTACCATAATGGTTGTTAGAGCATCTAGTGTTCCAAAGCTTCTTTTAAATCCAAACTGATTTTCTGGTAGCAAATTATTTTTTTGTAACCACCAATCCAGTTTAAATTTTATGAGTCTCTCTAAAGTTTTAAAAACACAGGAAAGTAACGATATTGGTCTGTATGAATTTGTAATATTTGGATCTTTACCGGACTTTAGGATAGGAACAACAATGGCGTTTTTAAATGAATCAATAACGATGTTATTTTGAATGATATCATTAAATACCTGAAACAGTAGAACTTTAGCATCTCTTGGTAGGTTGATTAACATAGAGTATTTGATTTGATCTAGCCCTGGGGAGGTATTATTGCAATTTTTGAGAGCGAAATCTAATTCAGATTTAGTAAATGGTTTCAATGAAAAGTGATTAGATTGGTGACTTTGTTCGGATTGGTTAGAGAAATATTAAACCCAGGGAGGAGAAACTTAATTAAAGAAGTCCTCTAAAACTTCATTGCTGAACGGTTTTATACTACTCTGCGTTTTTCGATTCATTTTGTTAGCCTGTGACCATATTTGCTTAGAAGAAATATTTTTGTTTAAATTGCTGCGCCCTACTTGCCTGTTTATATATAATTTGCATATCGTGTTAGCAACTTCTTGAGGATTGCCTCATTTTTCCTCGTAAGATGAACCAGTTGACATTGTCGTAGGCACCTTTAACATCTAGAACCATTGTTCCATTACAGTCGTTTTCAGTTAAGTCTATTTGTATGTCTGTAACTTTTAAAAAACCCTTTTTAAAACCATATTGTGTAGTTGGCAGAGCACCGGTTGTATTTAACCATCATTCCAATCGGTTTTTAATTATTCTTTCGAGAATCTTGAGTATACATGGCATAAGTGCAATATGTCTACATGAGTCACATAGGTGGGCGTCTTTGTTTGGTTTGCGTATTGGTATTACAATAGCGTTTTTCCATTCTTTCATACTTTCCCCATTGATCCAGATATCATTTAGAATTTTGATTAGAAACAACTTGGCATTGTTTGCTAATTGGAATAGCATAGGATATCTAATATCATCATATCCATGTGATGCATTCTTTCTATTTTTTATAATATAATTTAATTCTGGTAAGCTAATTGGTTGACTAAAAATCTTATGGTAGGTGTTATTTTGTCTTTGTTTTGAGAAAATGTGTAAGATATCATCCATAACATTAGCTGGTGTAATTTTATCTAAAAATTGTTCTTGACATTAATAATTCCCCGATGTATTATCTTTACCATATATCCTATTCATGTTTCTGGCCTCAGTCGATATGTTTCTCAATGGTGTTTCTATTTAAGTTTTCGCACCAGAGCTGCCAATGTAGTTTAGCTTTCAGTGTTAAAAACTTTTTTGTTTTTGAAATTTACTTTTTACGTTTCACATAATTTTCCATAGTGCTTTATTGCTTATACGTGTTGAGTATTAGTTTTATTTAAGAGCACCATCGCAGCTTTGATCCCGCCATGGTAAGAGAAGAGTTTTTTGTTCAGTTTAAAGGGTTGGTAAATGGGTATAGAGGCACTGACTGCCTTATTTATCCCTTCAAGTAATAAGCTATAAGTTCCGCGTTATTGCTATTTTAAATGTGTTGTGCTTTATTCAAATTCCATTTTGTTTTTGGATGTTTAATGATATCTTTACTTTCCATGCCTTTGTTAATATCAATAATAATTGGAAAATGCTCTAAACCCAGTACATCAGGTAAGCTTCCCATGCACAATTAATTGCTATATCTGGAGTTGCAAAAGTTAAATCCACGACTGAATTATTCCCATTATTTGTGAACCTTGTAGGTGATCCGGTGTTTAAAAGTACTAACTCCGTATTGTCTGAAGCGGTTATAATTTGCGTTCCTTTGGTGTTACTTTTGTATGATCCCCATGTTGAATGATTCGCATTGAAATCAACTCCAAATACACTATTTGACTTGGTACAGTCTTGGTCTTTAGACATTTTTCCACAAATCCAAATCCGCACATTCTTGCATAATTTCGCAATCCTCAAATTAAGCAAGGCGCAAATACTAACTGGCCTCGGACTTACACTCTCCTTTACATATAATTTTTACGGAGAGGTCAGGATGGGATATTATAGACTACGAGAAAACCTGAGTAATCTCGGTTCGCTATTCCCAGTCCGAACTGTTATGTTTTTGCGAAGTTAGTTACTTTTTGACAGACTAAAAGTGGCTGGAAATTACTATAAAACCAAGCACACGTACTCATAGCCAATATTATTAGTAAACAAACTAAATGGTAAATAAAATCTAATTTGGCGAATTACCAAGAATCAATATTTACTTATCTGCACCATATAATAAATATTTATGTTAAATTATAACAACTAAAATATATTTTTTAAATATATACTACCCAAAATTTGATGGGTTTAGTATGCACTTCCACAATTTAGAATAATTCTTCTTTTTTTTTAAGAAAGACGTCTGCAATAGTAGTATACTTGAGCTATTAATACTGAGAGTAGGAATTGTTGTGTTGTAGGTTTCCGACGATGAAGCTGTCAATATATGCCCGAGCTAAGCGAATGGAGTATAACATACCGGTTAGATCAGGTCATAGTAATGTCATAAATAAAATTAGCCATATCGAATAATTGACGATTTCTGACCATATGGTACTCAAATATAGGCCCAAAGTATCTTTGCAAATCCACGAAAGGGTTGGAGAACAGTGCAGAAAATGCACTCGACCAAGACTGTAGGGTTATACCTGGTAGACAAAGGGGTCTAAAACTGCAGAGTAGTCGGGCGCAGGAATATTCAGTATTAGTGGAAATTTAAACGTTTTTGTTCCATTAAGAGAATATACTACCTCTAGTTTTGCAGACCAAAAAAACTATTATTGTTTTAGCTCATTACGGAACATAAATATACGGAATATAGCGTATCATACGGATTATAGTGATGAGTGTACACACCTTCACTCATCCCCCCCCCCCTTTAACTTTATACATGACTAACTCTTTATGAGTTGATAGAGCTGCAGAAATGCTGGAAACGCTCTGATAGAACTTCGGCGTCAAAAACAATTGGTCTTAAAATAAACACCTTAAAGACAAACTCTTTTATCAACCTTGTAGTCAGTTATAAAATTCAGATATAAAGCCATAGCATCGACAAAGTTATAGTTTACAAATATCTAGGACATAAGATTCGCTTAGACCAATATAATCAGACAACTGACATACAAAGAAGGAAAGGTCTCACATGGGCTGCCTTTGGTAGATTGAACATTTTTAAGTCTAATATTCCAGTTTATTTAAAAAGTAAGGTTAGGTTAGATTAGGTTAGGTTAGGTTAGGTTACGTTAGGTATTCCAGTTTATTTAAAAAGTAAGGTTTTATCCAATGGTTCTACCAGTTCTTACATAAGGTTCAGAAACACTAACTCTGACAAAAAGAACACTAAACAAAATAAGAGTTACACAACAAGAAGTTATAGAAAGATAACAAGAACAACAGGAGTGGGGATGCAGTTGAAAGAATAGCCATGGCTAAAATGGGATAAGGCCGGACTTGCCGTGGAATGTTTTCAGATTGACGGATGATAAATGGAGCAGAAATGTTCTGGAATGACGACCAAGACAAAAGGCATATCGAAGCAGAGAACGACCACCGACTAGGTAGATGGATAATATACAGCACATTAGCACAAATTGAATGCCAGAAGCTTAAGACGATAACAGGTCGAAAATTTTACGGGAGGACTACGTTCAGCAGAGGATAAATATAGGCTAATTGATTGATTGATATTGATAAATATGATTTTAATTTTATAGTATGAGATTATTACCTCGAAATTCTTAAACATTATTGTAATTCAAAGTCATATTTACTAGCTTAATTGAAATCAATATTATAAACAAATTCTACTCGTACGGGTTCAGTACGTCTCATTTTTGCTATTTTTTCTTGAATCCTAAATACACATACACCATAAATTAAAGTATCTATCAATTTTTGACGCTTCTTAATTCCAGAGATATTATTCGATCCATTTTTTTTTTTTGGTAATGCAGCATAGACTTGTATAATGCTCTTTTACATTTACTAAAGAAATCACAAGAAACTAAAATGTTCATCTATTTTTATTTTGGTACAAAATAATAAAACAAACTTAATATAAAAAATATACCTAGATATAAATATCATAAATAAATTATAAAATATTGAGATTACCAGTTTAAAAATTGACTTTTTACAAAAAAATCAAATTAAAAAAATATGCCACAAGTTAATATTGAAATGCAACTTTTTCTACTAACAAACTCGGAAGAGTCAAGAATTTTAATTTTTTGAATGGATATCTGCCTATTTAGTTCAACTTTCTTAACTTTCTTCTTTCTTTCTTCGTTTACGACTTCTCCAATCTTCAACTTCTTTAGCTTATTTTTGGCGTCGGCGGAATGTCCAAAATTATCAAAATCTTTTGTGGCGTCTTTGCCGGCCCATTCTGTTATTAATTCCGCTCCCCCTGGATGTTCTTCAAGATAGTCAGTGACATCGTATACAATATCCCTAATAACTATCCATACCCTGGGATCATCTTTTCCGTTATGCCTTGAAATTTCTTCATAAGAATATAGTTTCGTGTCTGCTTCTTTGTTCTTTATATTTTCTTTGTTTTCTTGGTGATTTGGAGTAATTTTGTCGGAATTCTTCTTTTTGTCGTCTTTGGGAATTTCACCAATTTTTAGTTTCTTAAGGATTTGTTTAGCATCACTGGAATGTCCAATATTATCAAAAGCCTTTGTTGCGTCTTTTCCTGCATACTCTCTTATTACATCTGCACTTCCAGGATGTTCTTCCATATATTCAGTTACATCATATACACAATTCTTTATAATAATCCAGGTCCTAGTATCTTGTATGCCATCGTACATTGAAACTTCACTGACATTGTACAGTTTAGTATCGTTTGTACTAGTTACCTTGGTAGATTCAACTTTTGGTTCTTTAGTGGCTTTCTTTTTACGGTCCTCTACAGCAACTTCACCAATTTTTAGTTTCTTCAGATCTCGTTTGGCGTCTGATGAATGACCGAAGTTATCAAAATCTTTTGTTGCGTTTTTACCTGCCCATTCCATTATTAGATCGGCACCACCAGGATGTCCTTCCATATAATCAGTTACATCGTATACATTGTCTTTGATAATAATCCATACTCTGGAATCTTGTTTACCATTATGTTTGGCTATTTCTTCAATCGTGAAATACTTGATTTCTTTATTTACAACCATTTTTGTACTTTTTGTGTCTTAGAGAGACTATACTGCTCTGGATACGACTTTTACTATAATATGATTTTTGTGGAGTAGATTCCAAATTTATACTGTATCTGCGATGACGTCAGCTTGTGAATTCTCGTTTTGAAATTTTATAATCTTACGACGGGTATCACGTACCAGATAATATTAAAATTTGTCTATAATTTTTTAAGCCTACGGTTTAAAAAGGTAAATAAAAATATGAAATTTTTTAGCGATAAGTATGTTGTTGAACTATCAATGATATGATGATTCGATATTCCGAATTTAATGACACTTGTTAATAAAGTTTAAAAGGGAAATTCCCAGCGTTTTGGTATATATCGTAGTTTGAAAACTATTACAATAAAGTAAAAATTTATTTTTATACCATTTTACAAAAACAAAAATTTTAATTCATTGTAAATGTTTTCTTAATGGAGTGTCCAAACACAAACGCAATACAAAATCTAATACAATTATTATTTTTATCGGAAAAAAGCCACAATTTAAGTTTAAAATAAATTTATTAAAACTTTTACAACTCAGCAGCAACCAGTTCCTGTTGTTTTATTTGGTTTTAAACAATTCAAAGCTATTTAAAGTTCTTTCATACTAATTTTCTGATCCAAATGGTTATTGAGAATAAACGGTTCTGCATATAATACAGGATCTGCCGTTATCTCCGAATTCACATATCTTTCAAAATGCTGCAGTAAACTGTTTAAGTTAACATCTTCTCAATAACCGAACTTCCAAACTTATACAGCCCAATAACCTCCTAAAATTCTTTTTCTGATTTTTTTGTATTTCTTAAACTCAATGCAGCATGTTTATAATTTTTTTTAAGTCACAAAGCTGCTTTTATTCCTATTTAACGTCCCTATATATGTTCGGTGAATAAGTCGAGCTACTCTTTCTAGATACTCTGATATATAACATTATTTGCTTTCTCTTTCTTGCACAGTCACCATCAAATCATTATTGGCTTTGTTTATAACACTCCTTTACCTTAAACTCTAAAGTTACCTCCGGTTGATAAGTCCACTTATTCACCCTATTAATTTCACAAGACATTATTTATTTATATTTTTCACAATCAGTTTGGGCCCAAGCAATTGTAGGAAGTAGTGGCTAAACTTTACAAGTTGATCTCTGACCCCCATCGTCGAAAGTCAATTTCACTATTAGATACATATGATCAGGATAATAACAACCTATAAAAAAATTATCTACTAAATTTAACATCGGTCCTGATACACATGCAAAATCTGTTACAGAACTGTCTAATGACAGAAAATGCTGCAGTAAACTGTTTAAGTTAACATCTTCTCAATAACCGAACTTCCAAACTTATACAGCCCAATAACCTCCTAAAATTCTTTTTCTGATTTTTTTGTATTTCTTAAACTCAATGCAGCATGTTTATAATTTTTTTTAAGTCACAAAGCTGCTTTTATTCCTATTTAACGTCCCTATATATGTTCGGTGAATAAGTCGAGCTACTCTTTCTAGATACTCTGATATATAACATTATTTGCTTTCTCTTTCTTGCACAGTCACCATCAAATCATTATTGGCTTTGTTTATAACACTCCTTTACCTTAAACTCTAAAGTTACCTCCGGTTGATAAGTCCACTTATTCACCCTATTAATTTCACAAGACATTATTTATTTATATTTTTCACAATCAGTTTGGGCCCAAGCAATTGTAGGAAGTAGTGGCTAAACTTTACAAGTTGATCTCTGACCCCCATCGTCGAAAGTCAATTTCACTATTAGATACATATGATCAGGATAATAACAACCTATAAAAAAATTATCTACTAAATTTAACATCGGTCCTGATACACATGCAAAATCTGTTACAGAACTGTCTAATGACACAAAAAATGTATACTCCTCATCCATATCGCCTTTTGTTCTGCCATTCAAAATAACCTCTGTCACATACCCCAATTACCTTTTTCCCATGATTATTAATCAACTTGTCTTTAGAAACTCTCCTTTCACTCAGTCTTGTCCTTCTTTTTACCTCATCCTGACATTTTGGACATTTTCAAGACACTCCTCCCAGTACTGCCTAAGCCTAAGGTACACTGGAATAATGCTTAATTTTTCATCACTTATTTTTATATCTATATTTATTTGACCATCCACTTTCCACAACTTATGGTGTAGCTTATCATTAACAACACATAATCACCCTCTACTCGCTCTTACAAAACTGAAAAATCTCACAGCTACTTTTTATATATGCCTTTCACATAATCTTATATCATACACTTATATGTACAGTTTTTGGTTTAAAATTTTGTATGTTGTTTGTACAAACGACAGAGCATATTCCCTGAGGCTAATAAATCGGATGTGGTTCATACTAAAGACTCAAAAAAAAACTGCTAGAGATGCATATTAGAGATGGTATTGGTTGTAAGTCCGTAACATCAGAGAGACCATGAGTACCAAGCAGGAGTCACTACAGGTGGTCACTACCAACAGGTAGAGTACTTTCTGGAAATCAAGAAATGATGTTGAGTACATTGAGAAAATACCTCCTACGAAGCAATAACAGGGGCGATTCGTCTAAAAGAAGTAGACGAAACAAGATGCAGATAGATAGACTGCATGCTGAGGACGCGTGTGATATACACAACGTTACTGGGAGATACAATGTCAGCACAAGTAGCAAAGGCAGTCCACTGGAAGGAGTTTTATATCCTCTTTTGCAGAATCTGGTTATGGGTGGGCTAATAGCTAGATTCAACAACGACAGGCACATGCCCTGGACCATGCGGATGAACTGATCATCTTAGCCCACGACAAATGTAATTGCACAGTTAGAGATATAATGCAACAAGCGCTTAGTGTAGTTACAGAATGGACTTCAGATGTTCAACATAATACATGTCCCCACAAGTCCAAAATCATGAAATTTGCCAGAAAAAGGAATTTATAGGTATTGAATCCTCTATATTTAAATGGTACACATCTAAGTAATGTGAAGTAAAGTATCTTTGGGGAATAGTAGACTTGAGACTTACTTGGAATCAGCAGATAGAATGAGTAACCAAGAAAGCGACATTAATGATAGCCAGACGCACTTATAACAAAATGTGCGGTTTAAAGCCAGACATGTTACATTTGATTAATAACATGGTGGTAAAACCAACAACTACATATGCATCAGTGGCATAATGGCCAAAAGTGCCATCCTTAAACTAAGCAAGGCGCAAAGACTTGCTGGCCTCGGAATTACACCCTCATTTACATATACCGTTGATTGAATAACTATTCAATCAACGCATATACTTTTAACGAGGAGGTCAGGATGGGATATTATAGACTATCAAAAAACCTGAGTAACGTACCGGTTAGATCAGAGCATAGTAATATCATAAATAAAATTAGCGATATCGAATGGATGATGATTTTTGCCCATATGGTACCCAGATATAGGCCTTAAATACCTTTGTAAGTGGTAATCAGCACACAAGAGGGATGGAGCAGAGTGTAGAAATACACTTAGCCAAGATTACAGGGTCATACCTGGTACACAAAGGGGTCTAAAACTGCAGAGGCGTCGGGCACAGGAATATTCGGTAGGAGTGGAAATTTAAACATTTCTATTCCACTAAGAGAATATACCTCTCTTTTTGCAGAGTAAAATAACTGTTATAGGTTTGGCACATTACGGAACATAAATATACGGAATATAGCGGAACATACGGAATATAGCGATGAGTGCACATACCTTCACTCGTCTCGAAGGTATTTGAACGACATTTGAATCACAACGAAGAATTTTTTTGTGTTAATCCCATATCTATTATTAGAAGTGTAAACATTTCCAAAAATTATTCAGGATCTTAAGAATGAGAATAGCTCGATTAAGATAGAAAACTTCTAATTAAGTTTACCACTATACTTCGTAATGTAATGAAAACTTAAAGGATAATATCCTATCTTAACCATGGTAACCAAAGCATTAGGCCATTTGTATAAAAAATCAGTTTGTCTAACAGTTTCTTCTGTTGCGTCAATTCCAGCATAGGATAAATTATTAGTGAATTCTCTCCGATGGTAAAAATGTATTCACCATTCAACCACTGTAGGACCCGGAATTAGCATAATCGGCTTTTATTCTCGTAAAAATGTTCAACAACCTTAAGCTGCCAAAAACTAAACAACATGACGAATCTTAATCTGGGATGTTTTTGTTTACTTTAATAATAATGCGTTAACGAATTATAAAAACTCAAATATTTCGTTGCGATTGGTATGAGGTCACAGATACCGCGCTCAAAGAATTTCCCTTAAAATTATCATCTTTCTACAAAAATATTTCAACAACCCGTAACTACAAAGATACTGTAATTATTATAAATAATTGTTTTCATCTTCAAACGTAACCGACCCAAGACCTTAATCTTGAACGTGACTTAGATATTATTTATTGCCGATAATATCGGTCTTTACTTTTAGATAACAAAATACCATATTTGAATGATTGTAAATTACCTTTTTATGGGGGATATTTAAAGGATAAAACGTTTTCGCAAATGACATGCAGTTTTACATTTTCAATTTCTGGCGTAAATTTTATTACAATTGGTATCTTTATTACAAATAAACTTGGAGTATTAGAGTATTAAAAAAAAAACAAAAGGATTTCTTGGGTTTATATTTAAACCACGTAAAAAATTACTTAAAATATTCGAATCCTAGTGAATTTCTAAATATTTTCTAGAGAACTTATTATCCATCAATTTCTGAAAACATGTAATGAACTATCCATAAATGAATTTAAACGTATTACTTGCTATAAAAGAGCTATTTTCAGTCTACAATATACTTATTATAATAAAAAACAAACTCTCATTCAAAATCCCAAAGTAAAGAGGTCTCATATATTTACGTATTTTCCCGTGCAGAAATAAATAGGAATAAAAGTTATTTATATCTTATATCCTTTATACTAAATAATAATCAAAACTAATCTAAAAAAATAAAGAACAAAACAAAATTCCTCAATAATG